TGTGTGTGTGTGTGTGTGTGTGTGTGTGTATATATATTCTACATCATCAACCAAAAAAAAAGAAGAGAGAAAAAAAACAGAAAGAATTTATTTTAATTTTAATATTTTCTTCTGGTGAATGTTGCGGGGTATAGGACGTTTATTTAAGTGTTCAAACTATAAAGAAAGTAATATGAAATGTGTAATGAATATTATGTCGATATTTTGACGAACAAAATTATTTCAATCGCTTATGTTATTCTTAGAAGAGAGGAATGGGAGAGAGACAGGGAGAGAGAAAGAGGGGGAGAAGGAGAGAATACAAATAAAGCTCTTTTCTCTTTTTTACCCGAAGATGAAATTGTCACTTTTCTTTTTGTATCATTTTAGAGATATTTTTGTAGGAAATCTGTAGATGTGTAATTGTATCTCTGTTTTTTTGCATAATAAAACATATTTATTGAACATATTGGATGGTTTCAAAGAGAAGATTAGTTGTCTGTTACTACCGATCGATGAAAAAAACAAAAAAAACCGACAAAATCTATATACGTGAAAATTAGTCTATAAAGAAGGTATTTTGCACGTTTTTTTTTGTTTTTGTAGGAGAGAGAGAGAGAGAGGAGAGAGTGTGTGTGTGAGAGGAAAATATTAGATCGTGAAACAAAAACCCATCAGAAAGTAAAATAGAAATAATATACACAATAGAATACATCCGGATTTTGATTTGAACGACAGTATATAGAAAAGAAAACAGTCATTTGCAATTACTTTTTCACATGCAATAAGTTGAAATCGTACATAGCTCACTAAACAATATGTCAAAAATTTACAATAAATTTATACAAGATTATCAGTAACAAACAGACAAATCATTTCGTAATTGTTCCATATATATATTCCCATTTATCGTGTTATAAATGCAAGAAAAATTTGGTAAGTGAATAAATCCTTCTTTTTTTTCATATAAACAATATTTTTTTTTTTAAAACTAAAAATAGCATCCTATCGTTCAATATATATATAACTTGATAGATCTACGAGAAATATTGTATGATAGTTTGACAATCTGTTGATGTATTTTATATCTAAAAATTTGATTTACTCAAAAAATACATGTCATTTAGCCGTGGGCAATGTTCCTCTAATTAATCAATAAGAAACATGATTTTTATGAGATAAAAATATTTAACGGTCCTAAAAGTATGAGATAGTTGTAATAAAAAATAAAAAACAAAACAAAAAAAAAACATAAAATCGAGAATTACAAATGAAACTTATAGAAAAATTCGAAAACATATTTTTTATATATTAGAACGTTGAAATACTTCTTCACTACTAATAGTATTTATCATATATTACGGGTCAATAATCTTTGTCAATCATTGAGATCGTGTTCTAGTCCATTGTGAACATTCTCAACTTTGTCATTAGTTAAACTATAATGAACATCAATTCTTTTTTAGAGAAAAAGATCGATGCTTTTTTTTGTTTTCGTATTTTTAAACAACTATTCGTGTAGAATAGAAATTCATCAAAATAGAATTTATTTTTTATATTGTTGGAAAAAATATTATATTCGTTTTCGTCGTTTCGTTCGTGTTAGAAAAAAGAAAAAACAAGAAAAAACAAGGAAAAAAAAAGAAACAAAAAAAAACAAAAAAAAAAACGTTTGTGTATTTTATGATGTTAGTAAATAGTTTTAAATGTCCAATTAGCAGTCAATGAAAACTTAAAGTATTAGTTGGAAAATGATCGAGGAAATTTGACTGTCGAGTATATACTCTTCTCATTTTTCGTTTTATTAGCACGTTTAAAATACAACAATCATCATTAAACGTAGAGAAGAGAAAGATAAGAGGATTATTGTTACGTGCTAAGAATAAATAGTCAACACATCCGTATAGATAAAATCCTATTTCCTGTGGGAAATAAAGAAAACAATAAGTAAAAATATTCCCACTATTACAACATTGATTTTTTTCTTTTTTTTTTTTTTTTTTTTTAAACAAAAAGCACCCATAATCAAATATCTTTAATAACAATAAAATGTAACAAAGACTAAACGATGTGGGGAACACAGTTTAATTTAATTAGAGAGAGTTATTATTTTGACATAAATACGTTCATCAGGTTTTTCTTATTTTCTTTCTTTCTTTTTTCTAGAAAAAAAGTCACACGAGAAAATAATAAAGTTTTAAATTTTTTTCGACATAGAATGAATTGTTTAATTATGAATGGTGAAACAAATGAGTGAGACTAGAATTTTTTTTTTTTTTTTTTTTCAAAATCAAATATAGACACTAATCAATATTTAAAAATATTTTTATATATTCTAAATTAGTATTTGATTTATAATATTCTATTTTTTTTCCCTTTTTTATTTTTTTTTCTCTTTTTCTCTTTTTTTTTCTAGAATATTTTTCTAATGAGTTATGATACTTATGTATATTACAATAAGACTCAACATCGTCAAACATTAACAATAAATGATATGAATAGAAGTCTATTGACTTGGACAAATGATTCAATCGATGAAAAATTAACACCGACTCGTGAAGCAACATTTATTGCTGCTATGTTCGCATTTATATTTATATTTATTGGACTCGTTGGTAATATTATTTTATTGGCCACAATATTATCAGTTAAAAAATTAAGATCAAATATTATAAACATATTTATTGTCTCTGTAAGTATTAGATAATAATAATAAATAGAAAATAGAATTTAGATTAAAATAAAAAGATAGAATTTTTAAATTATGTCTTATCGTATTTAAAATTATGAGTTGAAAAAAGAGAATATAACAAAAAAATATTGAAAAATTTGTTTACAAAATATAGAGTATCTAGATGAATATACTAGTTTAGGTAGATAAAACAAAATATAATCATTTTTTTTATATATAATTTAGTATTTATTTTCCATTTTTTAGTTACAAGTCAATGATCTAATGAATATTGGTTTTAATCAATTTTTTGTTGGTCTATCATATGCAAATCGTGAATGGTTAGGTGGTAGAATATTATGTGATCTTGTTGTTTATTTTTCTGGTTTTTGTATGGGTTGTTTACTTTGGCATCATTGTCTAATAGCTATTCATCGTTATGTTGCTGTTGTTTACCATAAATTATTACGTAAAATGTCATTAAAAACTTATGCTACCGTTTCATTAATAATAACACGATTAGTTCCTATTGCTGCTTGTATTCCATCATTTCGTCGTTATACAATTTCTTATTCACCACAAATTTTACGATGTCAATTTATTGGTCGACTACAAATAATAATAAACGTATTTATTTTAATATTATTACCAGCGAGTATAATTATATTCTGTTTTTTGGGTATATTTATTTTTGTTGCTCGTGCTACACATGTTTCACGAATGAAACAAGTACGTTCAATGCAAACGTCCAATACACAAACATTAAGACGAGAAATTCGAATAACAAAAATGTTTGGAAGGTAAGTTTTTTAAATAAAAGTATAAATAAATTAGATTATTATTTATTATTTTATTTTATTTTTAGTCTATTTGCTATATTTTTATTTGGTTATCTTCCATACGGTCTTGTTCGAGCGTATGATAAACGTGGCCATCTTCATCCGGATATATACGTTCTACTAACTATTATTTATTGCGTATCAATTTGTACTAGTCCATTTGTTTACGGTATTATGAATAATCAACTACGTCACGAGTGTAAACAACTTATTTTATGCTGTTTATATTGCAAAAAAATGAGTGAATATAAAAAATATTCGTTAACACGAGTGACAGCTGTAAACAATAGTGCCAATAATAACAATAGTCCCTCCACAACATCCTTGAGAGACATCAAAGTCAAACTGAAGAATAATATTACGCCCGTTTGAATTTAGTTCTATTTTTTCATATTTTTTATGATTTTAGTTTAGTATTGCTTTAAAACAATAGAAGTAAGAATTATTTCATTACTTCGTTGTATAATAAAATTATAGAGCGAATGTTCTTGATTAATTAATATTTAAAAACAGATTAAATCTTCTATAGACAATCAGTTAGTCTTTTAATCTTAAAATTTTATTTATGGCTAATAATTTATCATCTATATTTGAAATATGAAACATTTTCAAATATTTTGGATTAAAAATTGTTACATACCAAGATAAAGTGAATACACTACTAAGATTCGTAAATAATTTAACATAAATCGTACAATTGTGAGAAAATAGTGCACAATATAAAATCGTATGTTTCAATTATCAGTTTTATATTTTACTCGTTTATCTGATTTATTAGTCAATATTTCATTATGATTATAAAGGTTATTGATTTTTCAAAAATAGTATGTTCGACGATATTATGACTTTGTTATATGAATTTTATATCTAAAACAAATTTGACAACAATTAACCCATTAGAAAGAGAAAAAGAGACTATTAAGTTGTTATCTAAATTCGGTGTCATGGGAGATATCAATGCAAAACATAAACATCTAGAATCGAAAAAAAACAAATTGAAACGGAAAGATTCTGAATCAGTTATATTACAGAATGAAGTATGAAATATATTTGAAGATAAAATGACAACATTTGAAATGTAACATGTTCAAGACAAATTAGATTAAAACACAACTATACGCTTTAATGACTCTGGTTCAATTTAATCTAATGCTTGTAAGTAAATCAGATCATTATCTGCTAATATTCGATGTCAGCGAGACATTAGGTTTTATATAAGTATCGATATGAATTCATTTCAACTTCAATCAAACAGATTGAAATACGTATCGTTTAGAACTATATCAGAAATGATAAAAACAATGAATAATCTTTCTAAACACAATGTTGTCTAAACAATCATGAGATATTACAACATATCAAAACGCTGAAAAATACATCTTCTAGATCAGATAATACTCACAATCAATGTTTGAAAAACTGGACAAAACTACAGCTTGATTACTTACGACATCTATTCAATAGTAGAATTCAAACAGGCTATGTTCCTAATGAATAGAAAAAAACCGTATATTATTCCCATTTTGAAAAAGGGTAAACCTGTAGATGACGTTATTAACTATTAGAACGTATAGTTAAAAATGATTTACTAAAATTGTTAGATAAAAAGACAAGAAGTGACTACTCAACAATCAATATGAATGGCTTTAGGCCAGGAAGATCAATTATCAATAATTTACTAAATATAATACATTTTGCAAAAAAGAACTTAGCAAAAACCAGACATGTTGGAGTTATATTTTTTGATGTAAAAACTGCATTTTGACTCAGTCTGGTATCGAAGACGTTTTGAGAAAACTCTGGACGTTAGATGCTTCCCTGTACAAGTGGGTTACAAATCTTCTGAAAAACAAAACAGCTCATGTTCAGCGTAATTCATTTTATCGAGGAAAATTCTGAAGAGTACTTAGACTATAAATACCATTACATACAAAAAGTCGTTTATTCGCCGAAAACACAGCCCTATACATTAGTGGAAATAGCCTGAAAAACCTTCGAGTACGTAAGAATCAATAGAAAACTTTTGTTCGTGGTGTCTGAAAGAGAAACTAAAAATACAAGAAACAAAAATCAAATTTTTAGACATTACTTACATTAATTCATTAGAATAGCGCTCCTCTATGACCGTTGACCTTCTTAAATGTAAACAACGGAATTTGGAAACACTATACAGGTTTTTAGCACTAAACCGTTAATACCTTAGACAACGACCTGGTTGGTGTATTCAGAATTGTTATTTATTATTAATTAATTAGTTTCAGAAAATAGAAAAAATTTAAGTACAAAATTTTTAAAGATAAAGTCTAGCGTTTAACACTTAATCATGTCATTCAATCAAATCCCCGTAGTAGTATTACAGAGAATAAAATCTCGTTGTTAAATGCTGGAACATTTGTTATTCTTGTTGTGGAGCAAGAAACCTATTTCAGACTTTATTCTACCACTTGAGGGCTGACGTCAGCTGGAATAGTTTGATATGACGGAAACATCGTTTTTTCCTCTTATCCAGTTTATTTTATATTCAACAAGATTAAAGTATAATTTTATTGGTACTCCTACCAAGAAGAAAAGTTTTGTAAATTAAAATCACATTGTACTCAAAAATTTGAATAGCATCCAGTCATTCTCATGCAAACAGTAATCTCGTGAAAATGACAACTGTCTGAAGGCGTCTCGCACTCTAACTCCAAAGTTGATGGTGGTTTTTTATATTTCTTTGCAGGTAACAGTTGATAATATACAAATGCGTTGTTTTCTAAGTATTATGACTTTTTTCTATTGTTCACTGAATTTTTTATTTTGTTAACTTTTTAACAAAGAATTGTCAGTGTAATATGACGACAAATACGCTTTGGATCCTGGAGTAAAAGAAGAGCAGTTTCCTGCCCTACCATTTTCATCTATCCTACCAAAATCAAAAACAAAACAGAAAAAAGTTTGAAGAGATAGACATTGAATTTTTTCTTCCGATTTTGAACAGTTTTATTTCAATAAATTTTTACTTCAACTTTTAATAAGTATAGTAAGTTGATATAACATAGACAAGAAATAAGCAAACGAATAAAGTACTCCGCAAAAGTATCGATACTCCTGTAACTTAAGAAGCACGATAGCTAGTGACTTCTAATTTTGTGTGGTCATAGCTTTCATCGAATGCTGATCACCCGACCAGTATCGACCTCTTTTTCTACATGGTTCATGCGATATATGTGTTTTACTTCTTTTACATACAATGCTAATATACCCTGATCCAAGAGATGTGAAAACCTTTTCTTTTTACCAAAATGTAGTCCTGATTCTCCCCTGTCTATGATATGAGTTTAAAGAGGTAGCTGTTAATGATTACTGAAAGACAGCTATTTTACGCTCACTTTTGACGAAGAGAGAAAGTTTTCAATAAAATTTTTTGTGCATGATCATATTTTATGATGATTATGATGTATGTTGAATGCAGATTCTATAGTGAGAAAGGACGACTCTTATTTGTCGAATATTCTAACTGATGTACAGGAAAAAATGTTTGTACCTTCAAAGAAACCTGGGAATAGAAAACGCAAGAACGTTACCAGGATTTCTGGACGTCTGAGTCATAATTATTTGCAATTTATCTGCAACAATACATAGTATCGAAACAGAAACTCTTTTGTCTGCCAAAATCAAGAAACGTTTTTGAGTTTTCGAAGTTCTTTGAAAAATCTAGTCTTTCAATAATGGTTTTATCATCCAAACGCAGTTAGACAGACAGGTTTTTTCTACACCAGCATAACGATGGAGTAGGTTATGCCAATCGAAATTTCTGCTTAGCATTGACGTTAACTCATGTTCAAGAAAGATTTTGCATACAATCCGAATGAAAAACGAAGTTTGGATCAAACACTTATAGAAATGTTTTTATTGCACGAGGACTCAGGCTCCATTGAGCCGTAGTCCATTATCTCCGTCTCTGTAGTCGCACCACTGGGTGAATGACTTGGTAGATTTCAGAGATGAGTGTATGTGTGTATAGCTTCATTCTTCTCAAGAAAAAATGTAACTAGATTACACATACTAATCTGGCTATAGTAAATGGTGTAGTCTTGCTAAATTCATGCGCTCTAGACAGGTAAAAAAACAAACAGCGAGTGTTCAAGCGAGAGATACACTCGGATACACTACATAAAAGATTAGATTGATTAGTTGGCAAATAGAAAATGGTCTGTTGCTGTTGATCATATAAACTTTATTTTGTTCAATGTCGTTCTTTTTTTGTCGATTCTGCACATAAAATTTTCAATATTTGACTTTTAATCGTATTTGTATACCTGTACAAAAAAGAGAGTAAATTGAATGATACACTATTACATGATCTTTATTATTTTAATCATGATCTTCTCAACCCAAAAGAATCAGGTGTAACTCACGAACAACGTACTTTTATTCTTTTGTTATAATTTCTCTATTTACTTCTTAAATAAAAATATGCCTGCGATGCCTTATAGAAGAAAAGTAATATTAGTCACAATATTTCGCTTTCACATTCATTACAGTGTTATTAAAAAAAAAAGTATGCTTATTAAATATGACACCGAACAGATAACTGATCATATTTTCGATTATGTTTACATATGAGTCAAACATCTTGTTCATATTTGATCATATCAGCATGATCGAACTTGTTTTGAACAGTAAAGGAGTGTTTAAAAAAATCTTTCGATTTTCCTATACAATCTTAAATAAAATGTTGGATGAACATTGCTTACAATGTGCTTTAAAGCCAAAAATGACCTCAAATTTCGGTTAAAATAATGTATGACGAAAGAACATTTAGCCACTTTTTCTACAAAAAACAGGATTTTTTTCCGAATAAGTTTTTGAGCTGAACATAAATATGATGTCCATTTGTGCCCATGGATCTTTCAAAATCTATCTTTGAAGACCCTCTAAATCTTTCAACTTAAACATTTTGATGTACCCAGATTGTAGTGCATACAGTGCTAAACAAAGATAATATTTTCAGAATCAACGAACACGTTTTCGATGAAATATAGAATTTTGTTATCACAACGTGTTGTAGAGAGATTATAGCAAAACTGAGAAATAAGAATGTATATCTCATCGAAAACTTGTGCTTTGGTACTGAAAGTTTTTTATATACAATCACACCACGAATGTGTCAGAATGTTTAAATTGTAAAAAGACATTAATGGATCTTTAGAGACCGTATTGAAAAGGTTCAAGGACACAAACGGATATCATATTTATGTTCAGCTAAAAAAACGTCTGTTTTTCATGAGAAAATAGACTGGAATGCAGTTGGAAATGTTCTCTCGTAAGTAGAAATATATTTGAATTTTTGAGATCTAATAACTCCGCCACTGTTGTCGAACATGTGTTACACTTTGTCTCTAATTAATGATGTTGTATAAACAAAACTGTTTAACTTTTATTCTTTTTTTTTCTATGTATATATGCAATATCGCAATGGATAATCCATAGTAAGCGAAAGAATAAGATTATATAGAGATATGTCAATGAAACGGAAAACAAACGTTTCTTTTTTTTTCTTCAACGTTCAATCAAAACTCTATTAGTACAAGATATACAATATGTTTCGAGTTTCTCCTCCTTTCTCTCATTTAATCTACTGGAATAAAAAAAAAAACAGCGATATTCTCATCTCATATATCAACTACTATATGTAGATATATATTATATGAATAAAACAACAAACATATAGTCTTTCTTCTCTTGTTTCAATAATTTTTGACCCTAAAGCACACAATTTTTAGTTCCAAAAGGTTACTTCAACATAGACGTACGATTGATTGTGTACAGTAAATAAAATAAATGCCATTTAACACAGTTCATCTGATAGTGTTTTTTAGGAATACTTTTTATTTGCTTTTTTCATTTTGAAAAATAAAGAGAGAGAAAAGAGAGAATTAGAGCTGTTATCACATCGAGTGTTCTTTATGTTGGCACTTGAAGTACCAAACTGTTCACCTATAAATAACACTTTTACTCTCCACTCTTATTAAATGAACAATGAACGTATTCTATCAATCAATGGATGATACAAGAATAATTTCCAGAAACAATTTATCTAAATCACTGGTGAAGGTAAGAATATCATTTTTTTTTTTTTTTGTCTGTATCAAGTAAATTTCACTGTTATACATACTAAAAATTCCTACCATTGTTTGAGTCTTACATGTAAGATGAATGTTTTCTAGATAAATTTGATGAAAATTTTTTGAAATTAAGAACAATAATAACACGTTTGGAATCCTCAATTTCTACTTAAAAAAAAAGTTTTTTTTTTGCCTAATCACATTCTAAGTTAAGAGTCATGCCTCATAGAAAAGATCATATACAAACGAACTTTTTTTATTTAGAATAGAATTCATCCGCCCTTCACTCTTGTGTACAACATTTTGACAAATTTTTCTGATTAAACATGATCTCTCTATATGTCTCTCTTTTATTTTTACTTGTTCTCTGTAAAGTTCAACTCTAATAATAAGTAACAGAACATTTGTTTAAGATATTTTATTTTAGTAAGAGACAAATATAAGAATGATGAATAGTATTTTATCAAATTTTAACTTTTATACGGCATTAACATTAATTGTATTAATATTAAGTATTAATTTATTTCATTTATGGTATTTAATATTTAAACGTTTTCAATATAATCTAAATAATGGTCGATTATTAACATTATCAAAATCAAATTTATTTAGTTCATCTATAGCATCATTATTTATTTCATTTTGGTTAATACCATTTTTTTTCACTCAAACATCTGTAACTAATATATGGACACCAATTTCATATACATGGAGATTATGGTTATATGGTTTTCATGTCATCGATTCTGTACAAATATTATCATTATTATTATTAACAATTGAACTTTATTTTATACAAAAAACATCATCAAATAAAATATCAATTCGTTTATATCAACCTATTCTATTTGTCATTATCATTTGGCTTACACCCATTATCGCATTTTCACCAATATTATGGTTATCTGAAAGAAATTCACTAATTATTAAACGATTGAACAAACAACAATTATCTACTACTAGTCAATTGAGCGATTATTTTCCATTTAGTCTTTTTCAACGTTATACATATTCTCCCGTATTAGCATTACTCTATGTAACAACATATATTATACCCTTATGTTTGTCTTTATTAATCTCATTATTATCTATTGTTACATATATTAGACAGAAAAAAATGAATCACAATAAGAAAAATATATCAAAATATAAAACAAATCAAATTTTATTTGATAATAATGTTAAATCTCATCATTGTGAAATTGTTGAATTAAATAGTTTGATTCAAAATGTACTGAATTTTAATCTAACTGATAAACGACCGATTACAACATCAACATTTGAAAATTATTCCAATGATCATTTTACTATTGGTAAAAAGAGAGATCAATGTGTTAATAATTTTCACACTGAGGTAAGTTTTTATATTTAATAGATGTTGAAAATATCAGATTAACTGATTTTTAACACCAAATTTCTGCTATTTTGTCACAAAACGTCATTTTTTTTTCTTGTCATTTTAACAACTCCTAATATTGCTTACATAAAACTATAAGGTCGATTGTTTATGATAGTTAATAAATACTTTCATACTCTTCAAATACTACTACTTTGCTCAATCATCATTCAACTCTTTTTAAATTACTATCATGTATGTTTAAAATGTTATATTATATTTATAAGTATATATACCAATATAAACTTTTTATGTCATATAATTTCTCTACATAAGACGATACAATATTTATATTCATATTATTTGACGAGAAACGACCTTTGATGAAACATGAATAGAAAAATTGTGATAAACTTGATTTATAATGTATATTTAAATTTTAATTCCTTTAAATATATAAACTCTGTTAACAATTCAGTAGGAAAACGTTTTTTTTCACTTGATTATTCTAGAAAATTAATTAAATAGAAAATAAATGGCTGAAATCTACTAGTGTTAATCTACATAATAATTCTTATTCTAGACAACATGGTCACCATCAAATCAACATATAAAAGAAGAACATGAAGAATTACATAATCATCGAACAAAAAAAATTCGCACATCATCCTATGAAGCTTCTCTTCGTTCGTCAATAATTATTGATGATGTTGTATCGGTGACCCTGACAAATAGTAGTAATAGTAGTGATATAATGAATAGGACGTCCTCCATGACAGAAGAAGAATTATCATCATCATTAATAGTTGATTCAGAAACATTACTTATTCCTTCTCAAACAAAAAATCAAATAATCAAATCAATATCATCTCGCATTGTCAAAAATCTTATTCTTATCAATATTTTATCTGTTATTGTTTATTTTCCATACGTAATATCTGCCCTTCTATTAACACATTATGTTATCAAAATTCAATCCTATCTTATTATCTATTCAATTTATTTTCACTGGTTTGCAGCTCTTCTAACGCCATTACTCCATTTATATTTACAATATTTTTTATTTACTTGGTATTGTAAGAAAAAAATAGTGAATAAACATATACCAGTGTATATGATTAAAAATCGTATGAACGAAAAACAGTCGATGTCCAGAAAAAAACAGAAATATACAAAATTTACAAATGAGAGAATAAAATACTATACAGACTGTAGGAAAAATTCTGAATTTTCGTCAATGAACAAGTTAACATGGATGCCAAGCACAATCGAATGTTTTAAACTTAGAAAATCAACTGCATAAAATAAATTCTTTTTTTTTTAATAAAATAAATAAAAAAAACTACCATAACAATATTATGTGTTTCTTCTTCCAGTGGCTAACTAGTTCTATGGGAAAAAACCGTATGACTTTTTATTGTCTCTCTATGAAACGGAATAGTATCATTTCACTCTCAAGACTAAGGGTACACTAGCTTAAAAAACTCCTCTTTTTCGTGTTTTCAGAAAACTATTTGAAGAAATAATTTAAATTCTCTGAGATATAAAGAATTTAGTCTTTATTTTTCAATGAAAAATATGAGTTTTACACTTAAAAAGTGCCCCACAAGCGCTGGAATGATTTCTAGAACCATGAATTTACAAATCGTCTCAAAAAAAAATTCCTTATTATACCAAACCATAGACAATTTAATTCTCTACAAGATTGTATATTCATTTTTAAGATTCATCTTTGATGTTTGGCACAGTAAGTCTAACAGGAAAAGATTTTATACTGAAATAGTCAAAACTTTGTTTAGTG